TCCTGGTTCCTAGGTCGACACTCAACTACTGAGCCACGTCGGCCGGGCAGAAGTTTTATTTCTACCAGAGAAGTTTTTGGTTTGTAGTTTGCTTTGTTTGTTTATTTTGTTTTTCTTAAAAGGAAACAAAATGTGGTGTTTTTTTCTCTAGATTTGGAGTCACCCCATGAGACCAAGAACTTACCTACAGAAAAGGGCATCTGTGAGATGCGTTTCTCCAAGTGGAACTCGGACGGGAAAAGCAAGTCCCTTGGCCTTGACTGGGTGTGTGAAGGTGAGTTAGTAGGGGCGCGGGGCCCTCCAGGGGGGTATCTCAACCGAAGGAAAACCAGCCGTGCGAAAGCGCCCGCCGGGGAGGAGGCCTCGGTCAGGCCACCCCAGAGACCTCCTCGCAGGGAGAATGCCTATGAGTGCAAGGAGTGCGGGAAGGCCTTCAGCCGTGGCTACCAGCTGACTCAGCATCAGAAAATCCACACGGGCGAGAAGCCCTACCAGTGTAAAGAGTGTAAGAAGGCCTTTCGCTGGGGTAACCAGCTGACTCAGCATCGGAAAATTCACACCGGCGAGAAGCCTTATGAGTGTAAGGACTGCGGGAAGGCCTTCCGCTGGGGCTCAAGCCTCGTCATTCACAAGAGGATTCACACGGGCGAGAAGCCCTACGAGTGTAAAGACTGCGGGAAGGCCTTCCGCCGCGGGGACGAGCTCACGCAGCACCAGAGGTTCCACACGGGTGAGAAGGACTATGAATGCGAGGACTGTGGCAAGACCTTCAGCCGCGTGTACAAGCTCATTCAGCACAAGCGGATTCACAGCGGCGAGAAGCCCTACGAGTGTAAAGACTGTGGGAAGGCCTTCATCTGTGGCTCGAGCCTGGCTCAGCACAAAAGGATTCACACGGGCGAGAAGCCCTACGAATGTCAAGAATGCGGGAAGGCCTTTACCCGTGTCAATTACCTTACTCAGCATCAGAAAATTCACACTGGTGAGAAGCCTCATGAATGCAAGGAGTGTGGGAAGGCCTTCCGCTGGGGTTCCAGCCTCGTGAAACACCAGAGAATCCATACGGGGGAGAAGCCATACAAGTGCACGGAATGTGGGAAGGCCTTCAACTGTGGCTATCACCTGACCCAGCACGAGAGAATCCACACTGGCGAGACGCCTTACAAATGTAAGGAGTGTGGGAAGGCCTTTATTTATGGGTCCAGCCTGGTGAAACACGAGCGGATTCATACCGGAGAGAAGCCCTACGAGTGCAAAGAGTGTGGGAAAGCCTTTAGCCACGGCCACCAACTCACACAGCATCAGAGAGTGCACAGCAGTGCGAAGCCCCACGAGTGTCAGGACTGTGGAAAGGCGTGTGGCCACGCACACCATTACAGAGGACACCAGGGGCTCCACGCCGCGCGCAAACCTTTCGAAGACAAAGAATGTTCAGAGGCCTCTAGACAGCACT